TTTTAGGGGTTAATATCACATTAATTAATATATTCATAATTTAAGTACCACATTACATATTTTTAAAATTTAGATACCATATTAAATATTTCACTATAATTTAAATGTTATTTATGATATTAACCATTTTTTTAAATATTTTAACAAACCAATTATTGGATTAATAACTTATTCATATCTATTTCTATCATAATGTTTTAATTTAATTTGATTTTAATATTACATCTATCAAAAATATCATTTTGTTCAATATAATATTTAACTATTGAAATGTTATATATCAGCTAACAATAAAATTAAATTGCATAAGAATTATTCTCTTATCTAAAATTAATTTCTTGAAAAAAAAATTATAAAGATGTTGGCTTCTCTATTATTATTTACTCATTAATTTCTTTGAATTTTGAAGGCTAATTAAAATTGTTACAAACTAGCTAGCATGTGTCTAACATAAAAACACCAAAATAATTCCTCTCTAACCTTGTCAATTAAATGCTCCATAACTAAAAACAAAGAGCCAAAGAAACTAACCACATATATTTTATGTTCTTATTTTTTTATTTACTTTGTTGTCTACAATTATTTCGTGTTTATAATTTAATTTAGAATAAATTTAGTATTGAAGTTGAAACTGACTTTTGCATTAATCTTAATACTAAATAATAAAAAATATATAATTTTTGATTTAAAAGTTTAATTTACAAACCCAAATCCAAAAGTTTGTGCTTTTGCTGTCAATCATAATTTTATTGATAAAATGATTTTCTTATTTTTATATCTTTAATTTTTTATTATTTTCTTTATATATTTTAAATATTTTAATTCATTGTAATACGTTTTAAATACATTTTTTAAATTGTCAATAATAGACAACTATAAAATAGTGATTTTATATTCATTAAAAAAAAGCATGTTTGTGATTTTCAACTGCTTTTTCCAAATTTGTTGAGTTTTTAGGATTTTTAATTTTTAATTAAATGTTTTATTGAATTGGATTGAAATATAGAACTGAAATCTGGTACTTAAGGATTTCACTGCATCCAATGGAGAATCCCAAATCAAATTCCGGCAAAAAATTTAAAATTTAATAAGAATAATAAAAAATTGATTGCATGACTAACCGAACAGCAACAGTTCCAGGTCGGCATTTGTGAGGCTTTTCACGCCAGAATTTACTTTTTTGGGGGCCTGAGCAATCGGCTTTCTTGGAGACTTTGGGGCAGTTTGCTGGGCAACTACATTGATCATATCAAATCAAATATAATTAAATTACCAAACAAAAGAAAAATGAAAATTTCTAAGACAACTAAAAATCTGAAACTTAAAATGAACTAACGTAGAGCTACGAAAACAGAGGCCACTGTGGACTTTGGAGAGAGCAAATCTAAAAAAAAAAATTGAAATAGGAGAAGGAGTTTCCCTTGGTTGGCCCAGAGAGAGAAAGGAAAAGGTAAAATTGGAGAGAAATGGCAGTGGAACTGGTAGTTGTAGGTATTCAAGGTAGGTTTAATATTTGTAATTTTCTAACACCTTTCTTCTATAAATACGCTATAGAAGAACCTAATCTTTTGAGATGATTTCCTTCATTTCTTTTTATTTTCTCAGTTTTCAGATTGTTTACTAAGTTTTTTTATTTGCATGGTCAACGTAGAAATATGATCCAAGGTTGCGACACTCGTGGCGGTGGTATAGCAGGTGGCGCTGGTGCTAATTTTCAAGGCAATCCAGGCGATTTTGGTACCTCTATTCCAGTCCATGTTCCAACAGATAACAACCAGTTCTTTTACATCGGACACCTTCCACCACCCGAAGTCACAGCAATAACGTTCATGGAGGTTATAGAGGTCATGGCGCTGCTATTCTCGTCCACGCTCCACTAAAGCAGAACTCAAGTTTAGCGGACTTACCTTCTGCACAAAGAGTAGTAAGAGAGTCAGAATTGGATATTTTGAGTGAAGCCGAAACAATTGAGCATATCGGCCATGAGTTTTTTAACCTAATATTCAGTTGACTAAGTCGGTCATCTACATATATACTTAGTTTATTTGTCAGTTGGTGGGTTTTTGTAAGTTCGATTATGAATGTCTGTTTTAAAACTTTCCCTCCATTTACTAAAGACTTTTGACTTTTTATAAACTTCATTAATCCACTGAATGCAGCTTCCAGCTGGAATGGATAACTGAGGATTTCCTGAGATTTTCTCAGGAGTGCAACTTTATGCAGAGACACTGTTGCTAGATTTCTGGTAATAACTCTCTTCCCTCAATTTTGGAATTTGTTTTCCTTGTAATTTTAGTGGGTTTTAGATTTTACAGTCCCTTCAGTGTTGTGTAGTTGTACTCATCACTTTATTAATTGAATTTACATGCTAATTCTAATAAAATTCATTCGGTATATATTTTTTTATAAATTTTTTTAATCGTAATTATAATAAATTTTATTTTGAATCTTAATTACAATAATTTTTATTATTATTTTTAATCTTTTAAAAAAAAAAGACTAAAGAAGGATGGTAAGGAAACATGTGCCACTTCTAGTCTTCTTGAATTACAGATGAATAAAAATATGTTTTTTAATTAAATGAAATGATTGTTTAATGAAGCGTTACAATGAAAAGGTCACCACCTTTGGATTTAATCTTTATAAATAAAGATGTTCAGAACACAATTGAGGCTGCTGAAATAATTCTCTATCTTTCTTCCATTCTCACTAAAAATAAAAGTAATTATGAAACAATATCCATGCCGTTGCAATTTCTCATATAATACAGTTTGCTATGTGGAGAAGAAAAGGCTTCCATTCTCAAGGGCGCCACATGATGACAGAAACCTCCCAGACATACATCTAGGGTTTTATAATGATGTGATTGTATTTGATCGTGTGGGAAAGGTATTCCTTAACTCCATCAACAATGCACTTTGTCTTGCAAGGGAAACTGAGTTGAGGATTTTAGTTCCAATCAATCAGTTCTGTTAGAAATACAGGCAGCGTGATGGAGATTTAGTTAACTGTTGTTTTTATTTGTAGAAAGCATATGTAATTCTCTTGGTGAGGCTATATCAGCACTCCTTTGGTGAGCAACTATAATACTGTAGCATTTGTTTTGATTAAGTATGTAGACATTTCAATATTGGAGTTTTAATATGTTTTTGTTAATTAAAAAAATAACAAATATATAAAAAAGAAAAAAAAACAAGTGGTTGGGTTTGTGTGAAATTATTTATCTGAATTGAAAAGTTTTGGTTGATCTTGAAGTTAAAATTTAAAAAGGAATCGAAAACCTTTCTGGTTTAGGGGATACGTTCCGGAATGTATTAAGTCAACATTTTGAATGGTGAACATTTGCTGACTTCTTTAAAAATATATAGAGCTTTGAGAGTTGCGAATCCAAGTCCATATATGGCTTACATGCAAGTTAGTTTGTTCTTCTTCAATTATTTATTTAGTTGCGAATCTGTGAATTATTTCAGCAGTTACATTCAGTTACAATTTGTGAAGTTTTATGATTTAATATGGCCAGCACTACACTTAGCTATTCTTAGATCTCAATTTTTATTATTGTTATGAACAGAAAAAGATTGTGAATAGGTGATTGGCACGAAAAGCAAGGAGAGGAAAAAAAATCAGCTGAAGATGAGATAGCAGAAAAGCAATTGCTAAGTAATGAAAAGGAATGTGCAGAGCACACCAACCTTGTTGATTTATGACACAATGATGTCGGAAAGGTCTTTCCAAAGCAATTTCTATTATGTATATCTTGCCCAAGCATTTTTGGGATTTTTTTTTTGTGAGGGCTATTCGACTGACTAGGGTTTCTAGGACGACCTTGTTTCTTGCCAACCCCATTGATAGTGAGGATCACACCAGCAACAAAGTGAATGTATCTGCTGCTTTTTCTCACAATGTTGAAGATGGCTCTTACATAGTAGTTGGAGCTGAAGCTAAAAACTGGCAACAAACTGTGTATTCTGATGTATTCATCTCGAACCTGCCAGTGGGATAGTGAAAAATCTGTAGTCACTGCACCTGATTGTTTCCTGCTACTTAATTCGGCAACCGGCATCGAAAGTGGAGGGATTATACAATGATTTGTAGGTAGAAATATTATTGCAGCATATGATCACAAGAATGCCAAGGATAAGCTATGGTTGATTGATATCCCTCGAAGCAATATATAATCACTTTGTTAATCCGAGTTAGCAGATGGGAGACTACATTGCGGGGTTGATAATTTCATAGCTATTTATGTGTTTGTTCTCAAACTAAAATTCAGGTAATATATTAATTAATTAATAAATTTATAATTTAAATATTATATTAAACATTTCACTATAATTTAAAAATTATTGACCCTTTCTCTTAATATTTTAACAAACCAATTGTTGGATTAATAACTTATTCATATATATATTTCCATCATAATTTTTTTAATTTAATTTGATTTTAATATTACATGGATCAAAAATATCATTTTGTTCAATATAATATTTAACTATTGAAATTTTGCTCAATACAATTATTTTGTGTTTATAATTTAATTTAGAGTGAATTTAGTATTGAAGTTGAAACTGACTTTTGCATTAAAAATATTTTTATCTAACCTTAATACTAAATAACAAAAAAAAATATTTTTTTATTTAAAAGTTTAATTTACAAGCCCATAACCAAAAGCTTGTCCTTTTGCTGTCAAACATAATTTTATTGATAAAATGGCTTTGTTATTTCATATCTTTAATTTTTTATTATTTTCTTTATATATTTTAAATATTTTAATTCATCGTAATACATTTTAAATACATTTTTGGTATTGTCAATAATAGAGGACTAGTCAACTCTTTTATAAAAATACTGATTTTATATTCATTAAGTCAACTATTTTTTAAGGACATTTTTGGGCCTTGGGTTTTAAAACTACTTTCTTGTTGGACCCAACAGGCCCATTTCGGCCCAATTTATTTACGGTTTTTTCCCTTGTTTTTTTTAGTTATATATTGAATCTACTTATAATCGGAAAAGAGAAAGAGCCAGCTCTCTCAATCTGCAACTACCAAATCTTCACATCTATTGCAGGTAACCTTTAATTATTGTTTTTGTTCCCAATCTTTCCGTTTAATCACTTTGATTCTTGTGCTTTTTGTTGTTCAATGTTTAAAGATGGTCTTTTTTTCTGATTTATGCATGATAATTTGATTTTTTTTTTCCAAATTTCATAGATTTTGAGTTGTTTTGTGTTGTTTTTGTGTTCTATATTTCGCTAAAAACCCATGACTCCAGTGCTTTCTAAATCCAATAAAACATTGATTTTTCGAACGGGTTTTAATTTTTAGTCCAAATTGGACTTCCTTTGATCTGCTTTTCTGAGTTTACTCTATTTGCCATAGCTTGCATATCTGATATGGGGTTTTACTAAATCCTCTTATTGTAATTATAAAAATGAAAATAAACGCTAAATTTTATTGATGTTAAGTTTGCATTTACGATTTTGTTGTAGCTGGAACTGAAAATGCTGTAATGGGTTTTTACTTATACTTGCTGTGATTGTGTTTAAGGAATCTTTTTGTTATTTTTGTTATGTTCGTCAAATTCATGATTAACAGATTTTGCTTGGTTTTCATAGCTTAGCTTGTATATGGAATGTTTTGAAGTTGAGTTGTTTGAAGATGGATAGAAACCCTTTGTTATGCAGAAAATGGGCTTGTGGACAATATTGGAAGGTTTTTTGCTTCTTGCAAATGCTTTGGCAATATTAAACGAGGACCGTTTTCTTGCTCCCAGAGGATGGAGTTTCTCCGAATTCTCTGCAGGGCGGACAAAGTCATTTAAAGGGCAGCTTATCGGTCTCATTTACGCATCACAATACATGAGAGTTCCTCTCATACTACTCAATGCAATCTGCATTGTCGTAAAGTTAGTTTCTGGTTGATTCTGCTCTAGGTAAGATGTTTATGTCTATGACTGATGATTCGTTGAATTTGTATTAGGTTCTCAACCCAATCTCCCTTGTTTTTATGTATCTGAGAACATGCTTATCAGTGGGTGATATATAGGGGTGGGGTCAGGCATCCCATTTTATTGGGTTTTATTTTCTGATTTCCACAAATTGACATGGATTTGAAATGACTGTGAAACAGAAGCACACTGATCATAGTTATTTCTAAATTTGGAGAAGCTATTAACTTGTCGACTTTATGGTGAAAAAGTCAAACTCTTAGATCAATTTGTCAGTTAGTATTGTTAAAATATACACCAGACACTTGGAAGTAACTGGACAATGATTGCAAAGTTTCTCTATGAATAACTGGAGTTCAAATAAAAGCATTTATTACTGCAAGTTCTTCATGTGTTACATGATCCAAATGTTGAGTAGGTCAGAGCAAGGAAGGCTGAAATGGCCTTTTAATCCTTTTTCCAGATCTGATAAATATAAATTCATTTTACTAAAACACATAAATTAAGTAACAAGATTGATGGTTCGAATTGCCATCCATCACAGAGATAAGCAGCTCTTGGTTGGGCATAACTGCATTTGTACCTAAAGGCTTTTCTGTTGCTTTATATTTGTTCATTTTATTGTGAATTATTCTTTCCCTTTTCTCTCTTAAGCATGCCACAAATTTCACCCTTGTCAGGAATATGAAAGATGCTAATTTTGCTATGAATTTAATTGTTGCAGCCATTCCTGATATTCTTAGAATGTGACTCCTTATCTGTTCTTTATTTGCAGAATTCATGGAACATAGGAATTTGCAGATGGTTATTGAAAGACAGAAGCATTCATTTCAGAAATTAGCTGGTATGCCTGTTGTGTAACCAGTTATATTCTAAGGTTGTATACCCATTTTTAAAATCGAGTTTGAGGTTTGATGATTGGATTGTATCGAACCTGGAAATGTGATGGCTCGAGCATTTGTATCATCATTGGGTCAGACTCTGCACTGTCATTCTGAAATATACAATTTATTGTGGCTGGAATTGCTATTATGTTGGCACCACTTAATTGTTGCTCTATGAACACGATTTGCAAGGTTCTACTGATCCATGCATCTGTTCTTTGGTTTAGATTCAACATGCCCCTTCATCACTCAAAATTCTGATGTTATAGGCTTTGCATCTGATATGGAATTAAAGTGCTTTTCCAGTTAAGAGGGAACAAATCGTCTATAATGTATAATATGATAAATCTAAACCAAGGATTGTAACTAAACGAGATAATCAATCTATAATCAAGTTTGTTCATCAACATAAATGACATTTTATTTGAGATATGCTCTTTTATAATACGAGCTTTAATTTTGTTCAAAAATAATTTGTTTTAACTTGATAAATGAGCACAAACGAATAAAATGCTTTATTCATTTACGTTCGTAGAAAATGATTTTTAAAAAATAATATTTGAAAAATTTTACATTTTTTGAATTGAAAAAGATTTTTTGTTATTTGGATGAGTTAAAAAAATATTTTTTTTATTTGATTGTTTTATGAAATTTTTTTTTCCAAATATTATTAATATAACTATTAAAATATTAAAAATTATTTATCATTAAAATGTATTGAAATTATTATTATTAAATTATTATTAAAAAATAATTATATTTTAATAATAATATTTAATATTAAAATATTATGTTAGTAAAAATACTTGAAATAAAACTATTTATTATTTTTATATTATTTATTAATATATTATAAATTATTTATTAATATAATATAATATTATTTATTTATTTAATATTCTTTATTAATATATTATTTATAATATTATTTATTAATATAATATTATTTATAAGTAAAATTATGCTCAAGAGTATTGATGAATAATTTTACTTATACTAAGTTATTTTTCGAAAAATGTGTTTTTTTTTTCAAATTTGTAAGATAACTAAAAAAAATGATCTCATTTTTTATTGATCAATAAATCATTTTTTGTTGATCAGTTAATATTTAATCAAATAAACATTTGAAAATGTGAAAATTATATTTTGAAAGTCATTTTTCGTGAAATAAAAAGAGCCTAAATCGAAGGATGCAAGTTAAATGAATACAAACTCTTAAGCCAATGAAAAAGAAAAGGCAAAACTATCATTCAAGGAATGGAAGTCTAAAAATGCTAACGATCTGTAATAGAGATCTTATTCCCTGTAAATAGGTTTCGAATTTGTAGATATCAAAGATCAGCAAATACATGATATTCTTTGGAATCCACAGCTATGAGCCTCAAAGATGCAACTGTTGCAGCAATAGACATGAGACCAAAGAAAGCAACATTGAGCCAATGCCAGTACTGTTGTAAGGAACTCAACTTGTGCTTCTTTGCCACAAGGTACATGTGGTTTGCGAGGATAAATGTTAGAGGGAATGTGCTCAATGCCCCTGTAAGGCTCTCAAAATCTCCAAGGAATGGGAGAAGAGCAGACACCAGTGTACTGATAGCAAGGTAGCCACCTCTTGCTACAAATCTGAAGGATAAGTTGGTAAATTTCAATGCATTTCCTCTAATTCCAAACTTCGTGTCTAAATACTCGTAAGTTGGACTCGCAAATATCTACAGCAGCAGAGAAAGGTAATCAGGTTCGTGGAGGTTTGCGAAAAATGGCTAATAGTATTATTGAAAAGCAGGAAATACAAACAAGTACGCTTACATGCAAAGCAATGACGGATTGCAGGAAGGCAGAAATGTTAGCAGCTGCCTTCACCCAAACTGGGCCGCTTACACTGTTAAGCAAATATGTTGATGTTGAAGATCCATATGCCCAGTAGCCGATGAATGTAACAGCATACATCGGTAAAACTCCTACGGTGAACTGAAAGTACAGAGCTCTCAGCATGTTCTTCACAGCAGGCTCCCTCACTGTTGCCTGTTATGAGAAAAATGTTCCCGAATCAGAGACAAAATTAAACACAGAAAGATAGTAGTCAGAATACTGAAGGAGATAAAAGAAGGGGGGGGGGGGGTGGGGGAGGAAGGAATAGAAGACAGTTTGCCTGTGAAACTAATTCATAGTGGTTAGGAAGAAGTTTCAAAAGAAGTTTCAAGGTTCTAACTACATTGGAAGGCAGAACTTTTAATCATTAAAATAATCTGGCCCACCTGTATTTCTGGAAGCATTCCAGTATTGAATGCAAACACAAGATTTGCAGATGCCCCTATGGTTGTAAAAATTCTGCCGGTTGATTTCCCTGTTATGCTATAGTCTCTGGATGGTGCATTGATTCCTATAACAGAAAGAGAATCATTATTGCCATATAAATGCAGCAAAAACTATAATTTGCATCAGCAACATTATAACAACAAAAAGTACATCAGTGTTCCAAATCAAACTCGACCGAAACTAAATGATGTTAACATGAATCACTCATACAAATAGGTTATGTTTCTTTCATTGCCTAGCATGTACCCAAGGTAAGATGACAGCCTTAATGGAACCAGCTAACTGCTAAAGCAAATTTCCCTCCATGTTGCAGGTGCTAAGCGGTAGCCAACTTTATTTAATACTCGATCGACATAGATCTAGCCAGTTTCTTGTGTATATACAAATGAGGCTCAAAAGCTCTTTAAGGTTCAAACTATGCAACATCAATCAAGATTTTAGTTACTTGAAAGCATGATTTGACTGCAATATTCAGCGCCATAAATTAAAGCTCTAAAGTGATTGACTTCAAGGTAACTATTTCTAGTTTTAAACTAGAAGACTTCATCCAGTTGCTTGAATTTTCATATTTTTATTTTGTCCAAAAGTTTGAGAGACAAGTTAACAACAAAGACACCAATGCCTACGTCATTAATCAAGACAATATCCCAAATCCAAGCTAATGGAACATACAACATAGTGGTTCCAAAAGGATAACAATGAACTAAATAGGCCAAAAGGTCAGATTTCTTGGAAAGCCCTCATTTTTAATGAATCACGTAAAGCTGGCTCACCTACACAGGGTTTAGAGGCGGGAAACCCACCCAAATATCACGCAAGAAATCAATGGAGGCTTGAATTTGTACAAGTGTATTCCACACAAGAGAACCAAATTGTCAAAAGGCCTGAATATTTTCTTTACTTTGTAAGGAAGGTTGCTCATTGACTAGGGGTCATTGTATGTTGAGGTCCATTCTTTAAGAGAAACTAAAGATGGAGCTAAAAGAGAAGTCGAGAAGGAAAACTATAATTTATAAATAACATATTTAGTAAGGATTCTATCTTCATTTTTGTCTACACTTCAATCACAAGTTAAGAGTATTAAAAGAAACTTTCCATGTGGTAAGAAAAAAAAAAAAAACATGACAGCATGAATATCAAATATAACTCACCATCTTTAGCTGCCAGCACGCATGCCACAATGATATACATCAGGCTGAGAAGTGTTGAACATCCTAACCATACTCTTAGAGATGATAGATGGGGTGTTGCTATGGCAAACAAAGCACACACAAATCCAGCTATGGCAATAAAGTATGGAAGCTTCATGGTATTGTCATCCCTAAAAAGAATATAACAAGCCTGCATTGCATATCCATATGTCAAGAATTTCAAAAGAAACTTTAAGCAATATTAACTATGGTATCTATGAACGTCATATAAATTATTAACAAAGTTAATTGATAAAGCGGATAACCATAAACAAGGAGGTAAATATCAGAATAGCAGACTATCGAATCCTCTTTCAGATGTTTTGCAAACTTCTGTAACATTATCTTTAACTTAAAGGTATAGATGTGACAAGAAAAATAAGTGTATTTAGTCATTCTGGTCTTACCTTCAAAGCAGAACCACCCAAAATGAGATATCCAATGTTAATCATGAACAGATTGACATATTGCAATGCCCATGTCATATAATAAGCTTTCCTACCTGTTAAAAGAAATGTCCATCAAGCAACAAATGAAATAAATAATTGCAACAGTAAGATCCATACTAAATGAGATTCTACAACTTTCAAATTACTTATGTTCATACCGTATATTTGGGCTGCAAGATCTCTGTATCTGATATGCCTTCTTCCCCCAAATTCATGAAGCTTGGCAACAAGCATATTTGCATATAATGATATCGCCGTGGCTAAAAGTAAACCGACTACACCTCCTATCCAGCCAAGAGGGACCATGATGGTGCCGGAATATCCCAAGACAAATACACTGTTAATACCAGTGGTCAGGACAAAACCTACTTGGAACCATGAATCTGAAAATTCACCAAAAAGGTCTAATGAGCTAAAAAGCAAAATGGAACATCATCAGATAAAAACTGACCCAAGATCAAGTATTATAGACAATCGATTCCTATTTATTTCACTATTATGGAATATGGTTCCCAAATTGGACAAAGCAAAATCAGAGAACCGAAATGTTTCACTAATCTCTCTTAGGAAGTGGATTCCAGCAAGGTTGGGTTTGGTCCCAGCACTTGCAAATTCCCCTTCCTCATTCCTAGGACTCGGTCTCCTTTGTATATAAAAAATCAGAGAACAATCAAAATAAATTTTCTCTATTCATTTATATTCATCTTACAAAAAAGAAAAAAAAATTTCAAGAAGCCACTGAAGAACTTTGTTCAAACAAATCATATAATCTAAATAGATACAGTTTAAGAGAGGCTATTGGGTATATCCTAAGTTTACTTTAAACTCATAACTTTTTAAAACCATGACAGAGCCCCAAACAGAAAAGAAAAATATATAAAAGAGAATTTATTATGACTAGGAAAAATTGAAAATGCCACAAAAAGAAAAGATCAAATTTAGCAGCATCAAATACAAAATAATAAGAGATAGAACAAGAAAAAAGTTGAACTCCTGTACAACATGCAATAAAAAGATAAAAAATCAATTATCATCTAAAATCCCAAAAAGATGAAATTTTGTGACATCAAACTACTTTTCACTATGCAGATAAAAAGAAAAACAAAATCCCAGATTTCCAAACAATCAATCTTTCATAATAAAGTGTTGCAGAATGAAACTATCAAATAAAATACAACAGGAGGGAAAAGAAAAATCAATAAATACTAAGAAAAGAACAATATTTCACAATAAAAATGGCTAAAAATATACCAGTGCTGACTTGATGGGCAGTTTCAGGGACCACAACAGGTAACTTATCACCCTTCTCGACCTTATTTCTGTCATCATATACCATGTTTGGCTCTATCTGTCCTTCCTCTCTCTCAGAAGGCAATCTGTTTCCAACTCTTGGTCTTCTTCTTCTTGTTACTCTTCATATATATTTGGAACAGCCAGGGTCATTATACTGCGATTCTAGTTCTTTTTCTCTCTCTGGCTTTCCCTTTTAATTTGATGCCAAAATTATCACAGCCAATCAAGAACATTGCTTTCCAAATATAGAAAAACCGGGTTTTTTCAAAGAATCAAAATAATGCTCCTTGTTTGGCGTTTGTCAGAAATGTCTCTTCAACCCCGCCGTTTTTTCCTTTTCTTAAGCACATATTTCCTTATCCATGTTGCAGAAAAGATAACGGCCGTTGTCGGCCATGGATACCCTCTAAACGGATACCCGAAATTATTCGATCCGACTACGTAAAATTAAAGTATTTTATAATCGGATTAGAGTAGAGTTTGATTAGTACAATTATTATTTGTGACGGATTTAAACTGTAATATTAAAATTCTTGTTACCCGAATCCAGTTATAAATAATATATTTTTAATATTATATAATTTTATTTATCAATTATTTATTATTAATAAAAATCTTACCTAAATTAATTCATTAAATATTTTAATTTATTATTAATGAGTTAATTTTAATTTTATTAATATAAATTTTTAATAATATGTATTAAAAATTAATTTTAAATTTTAAATTTTTTCATCAAAATTTTAAATTTAAGTTTAAAAATTCAATTTTGACTATATATTTAACAGGTTCAAGTAATTAACGAATATTTTTATATTTTATGAGTAATATTTGAAGAAAAAAATTCAAGTAATTAATAAATTCGAGTCTCTTAACAAAATCGATTATGAATACTTAAAAAATAACAAATAACTTATTCGTCAACATTTTTAACGTTGACTAACAACGAGAACTTCATTTTTTTAAATCTTTTAAAAAGAAATTTAAAAAACCAAACTAAGAAATATGTTTTATTTTTAATTTCTTTTTCACGTTTCAATCATTGATTTGATGCTTTTATTTCGATAAATAATCTGGTCTTTTTTTAATATTAAATAAAGAATTTTGTTAATGGTAAAATCTAAGAGTTATAAATAAAAAAAATATTTGATAAAAAATAAAAAAAAAATTTAATATAAAAATACATAAATTTGATTTATGGTAACATGATTTTTTATCTAATGATCAACAAAAATTTTCATTTAATACTTAAAAAAAAAGAGTTTTTTTTTTTGTTATATCATGATGATAAAATTTTAATACAAATAAAAAAAAAGAGAGATTTGACTCAAATCAAATTATTGATATTTTTTTAAATATCTTTAATCATTGAATCAAACGTTTTTAATCATTAAATAAAAAAGGTATATAAAAAAAAAAAAATCACATCCTCGAAATCATGACATTCTCTTTCTTCCGTGGATCTTTGAACAATAACGATGATTTTAATCATTGATGAAGTTAATCATCTAACAGTAGATGATGATGTGAGACATTGGATTTAATAAGTTCATAAGTAAAGAATCTAATCCACAATTAAGAATTTCTTGTACGGTTATACTTACGTTTTAGTGTTTTTAAGGAAGATCTGTGTGTTGCTCTTACAACAGCAAACGACAACCTAGTCAACACACCTTAAAAAAAACAATGTCATTTTCATTTTTTTCTAAATTATTTTCCTAAAATTTTTTACATAAACATAATGCTGGTATGTTTTAATTTTATTAAAATTTTTCGTTTCCATTTGTTCTTCACCTTCTTATTATAGAAGACTTTATCAATATCAATACAAAAGGAGTGGAAGTTAGATATGACAACATTGCCAAAAAAAAAAAGAAAATTGACCAATCGAATAAAAATTTCAAAATCATTAAAATTTTAATTATAAATTCGATAAGTAGGGAAAATTTTCGGAGAGAATTTTTAAAAAATTGAAATTATCTTATTTCAATGAATAAAAATAATTTTTATTTAAATTTTAATATTTATACAAAATTTTCTTTTTTTATTAATATTTAAAAACTTAGAGTAAAATAAGTGTTTCAAATCATCAAAATAGTTTTATCAATTGAAAATCTACTTTTTTTTTCTCGTAAAATTTTTAATCATATCATAAACTTATCTGAAAAAGAGTCTAAACTCCAAAACATAAAGGTTTTTGTTCAATATAAATTTTGATGGTTATAAGAGTTTCATCATGTAAAAAATGTTTAGCATTTTTTTTTTTATTTTGAAAGAATAATTTTATTTTATTGTCGGCCCCCGAGAACAAATTTTAGGTATTCCTGACCGTTCATTGAGGGAGACTACCCTTTATGGTCCCAAATTATTAAAAACAAAAGACAATTAAAGCAATTTTAATCAGAGATTTCTATAGGAAAAGTAAAATAAAATGTTTTTTAAAAGAATTATCATGGAATTTGTTTATTTTTTACCTATGAAAAAGTAGTAATATTGCAATATATTCTGCTGAGTTGGTTTCATAATTTGGAGTTGAAATTAATGGGAGGAACTTTGCTGTCCAATCAAATTGACTGAGAAACAATCACCTCATATTTTGCTATGGAAGATTTTATCCTTGTATCCTACATCGATTTGGCATCTAAGAAAGTAGAATTAAGCTTCACTTTTGCAGGAGTTTTGTCAAAAAAAAAAAAATTTAATGATATTGTCTTCGTCCAAGAATCAAAGTGAATGGGGTTTTACTTAATTGGGAAAAAAAAAAACGAAAGAATCATCTCTTTTTACGATTTAAATCTTGTTGGTGTTATCCAAATTATAAGCCTTGAGAAAAATGTGTGAAAATATGATCAAACAAAACATAGCTGTCTGTAAGGATAAGAATCTGAGAGCATAACAAGATCGGTTAACGTCAACGACAAAGATTGAGAGTTTTTTTTTTTTTTATATTTATATTATGGTGCTTAAATCAGTGTTTGGTTAAAGAGTAGAAAAGAGAATAAGATAAAAGATATATATGCTTGGAAGCTAGTTCCAGTTAGCTTAGAAGCATTTAGAATGGGAGACTTATACCTGTATAATGGAGTAACTTGCACCTACGTGGCTCAAGTTCAACGATGGGAATTAGAGCTCAAGTTGTAGGCCCGAGTTGAGCTGACAATTGATGATCCACTTGGGAGATGATAAATCAGCACCCTTATGTGCTTGCAAATAGAGTGCTAAAATGATCGAATTGACGTGAAACTTAAGATTTTAAATAAATTTGATACGTTAACTCAATCAAAACGTTCGAAATATCTCTGTTTAATAGTTAACTTATATTTTAGAAGTAAATGATCATTTTACACTTTGTACACTAAAATACCCCTAACACAGAGTTACAAGAAAATTTTACCTATAATTGTATCATTTGTTGTTAGAATAAAAGAATTTTTAATTTTAATAATCAAAATTTAAATCCTAATAATCTTATATATAGATAAGGATCAATTTAATATTTATTATGAATAATTTAGAATCATGGAAGACATTATGGACCTAAATCAGTTAATGCATAGATAAGTTCAATGCTTTACCAATTGTAATGAAAGATGATAATGAAAAAAAGTCACTAAAAATTTTGAAAATCAGCACCCTATTTTCAAATTCACCACCAATTACAATTTTATTATTAAGAGATTAATTTTAGATTAAAAACAAGAGACATAAAATTAATTGATCCCGAACCATAATTTAATTAAAATTAAATTCTAATCAGTCATTGTATTTCAAAAGTTTTATAATTTTTATTTATTTTTATTTTTATTTTTATTTTTTTGTTATTTAGGAATCGAATCAAAATTATATTTTAATTGATAATGGACTCCTAATTCCATAACACTTCTTCTGGTAAGTAACAATTAAAATAATTAAATTCGTCCCTAAAGAAGAGACAGCATCATTTTTGGTCAAATTTGAGCCTCGGAATTGAGAATGCAGGCCAGACAGTGTTGCATATCTGCATTTCACTTTGGTAAGATCCAATCAAAAGAAAGTCATAAAGGGAATCAAAGGCAAGAATTTTCCAGGTTTTTCCTCCACTATAGAGCTGCTGTCAGGAAAATAATTATGTTCCCTAATTCTTTAATTATATGTTGATTAGTGGTATTTTAATTGTAATTTGTTCTAGTGGATCATAATTTTAAGCACAAAATAAATGTAAGACACACTGGGTTTCCCTTTCACAACATGATTAAAGTTCTTACCGTGTCGGATATCATTTTATGATTGGATTCTAATGGTTCTAGCATTCTTATTGATAAAAAAAAAAAACTTTTAATCTAATGATCAAGTTACGTCTATTACTAATCCATGAAAATTGGGGAAGTAATAGTATAAATGCAGTGTACTTATGCAAACACAATATCTTAATCATTGAGTTGTGTGTAGACTAAAGAAAAGTATAGTGGAAAATGTCTTTCTTCATTGACATAATTTAGAATCAACAATTAGAATTTGTTCTAAGAGCATGATTATGATTTGAACGAAAAATATATATATATATATATATTGATTTGTAAAATTTAATTATTTTTTTTTTTATTTCGACATGAAAATCTAAAATAGACTTTGAACTCGGTGATGATATATCATTAAAGATGAATATCAAATAGATGATAATTTTTTCTTAAAAAGAAAAGTTTGTAATAGAAACTAACCATTTATATAAATAGTTCAAAAACCAAAAAGCTAAAACAAGCATATGAAAAGAGCTAACGAAAAAAGATTTCAGTATTTATACGATCAAAATCTTTGTGGACAATTTAGAATCATGGAAGCTAACACAAAGACGGATTAAAAAGCGAAAAGAAAATACCTTTTACTAATATTTGATAAGGGAGAAAAAAATTTTTAAATTTTGAAAAAAATTATTTTATATATATATATATATATATATATATATATATAAAAGCAAGAATATCCATCCTATCAAGCAAAGTCTGGTGGAGCTAAATAAGTTAATGCAATGATAAGTTCAATGTTTTACTTTCTGTGACTAGTTAATAAATTTAATTTGAAAGTCATATTTCGATTAGGACGTTTATGAGATACCTTTAATAACCAACAAATGATAAGTGTTTTTCTTTATGTAGATTCTATTTTAATGGGAATTTGACGAGTAGATCCGCTTACAAGTCTTGCTTTTATTGTTATATCAAAGAGTTATTTCACGTATTGCTTGAAATTCCCAGTCTTTTGTTGAATCTTTTTCAAGTCACTAAAAATATGGACAAGTTTTGAAAATCAGCACCCTATAATACAAATCCACTACCAAAGAACACAATTTTTTTAGTAAGAGATTTAGCTTCAAAACACAAGAGGCATAAAATTTGTTCGTCGAGGACATAAATTTGATTATGATTAACTCTTAATTTATCTTGGATTTCTATAATTTTATTATTTGTTTTGACTTCTTATTGTTTTTCTTTTTGTTTAGATATCTAGTTAAAATTACATTTTAATTGATTATGGACTCCTAACACTATAGTACTTGTTCTCTTGGTAAAAAATTTTTAAAAATTAATTTATATTAATTTCTTTAGATTTTTTTTACTCAAAATATAGATTGAAATGCTCTATTATAAGTTTTAATAAAAAGATGTATAGGACATTTGATTCATAATTAATATATAATTTTGTTACTTCAAAAAGCAGATTCAAATCCTCTTTTTGGACCTGTTTTAGCCTTTTGGTTTTAACTTCATTTTTTTGGCTTTGGATAATAGAAATTCAATAGACTTGGACTTTTCAGTGTCAGGTTTTCACATGGAAACTCGAAATACTAGTCCCAGAGTCCAACTAGAAATCTGATTTTTGCATTATTTATAGTTTAATAAGAATTTCAAAGCCTGGAATTTAATCCATTAGCCATACAAAACCTTGCATGCGAAAAAGAGTTTGCTCCTTGGGATAATTTTAACTGGCCGATGAGGTGAAATTGGTATTGTTTCAAGGCATTTCTCGATTTGCTTCTGTTCTTTCAGGTTTTGTTTCCAACTTTCGTGGCAAATGTTTTTTTTTTTTTAATTTTTCCGGTTGTGGGTTTTTTTTTTCTTTGCTTAATGGCATAATGCAAGTTTGATTAATGGTGTTTGCATGAATGAGAATGGTCAATCTGATGTTTTCTTTCCAGTATCTTAACTTTCCTTTGCCTTGAACCTTGGTACAGATTCTGATTTTATGATTGATAAATTTTATTTCGAAATTTAGGTTGTTCTTTGAGCAGCATTATGCCATTTATCCATGGCTTATATCAATTTGGAAAGCTTGATCTGGAGCTGAACAAGATATATTGTATTCAGATTTCTAACTTGCGTGCTTCTTTTTTATTTTTATTTTTTCTTTTTATAATTCGAACAGGTTATAGGGGCCCACTTCATGATTTAGCCTGATGCAGTCATGATTTTACTCCCGGAGTGCTCCCACCATGATTGAACCCTGGAATATTCGTATATAGTTTAGTGCTACTGATGTATTTGGCAACCAATTTGAATCCCTTCTAAACTTTTCTGTTGCTGTTTCACTGTAAGTATTGCTTTTGAACTTATCACCAAGGTTCTCAGCAAAGGAAATTTCTGGTTATTTTGCTCGTGAGTTGTGACAAAAATGGTGGAAGGTGGTAATATTTCAAAAGCAGACAAGACAGAGTTCACTGAGTGCTGGAAGACAACATGGAAGACTCCATACATTATGAGGCTTGCACTGTCAGCTGGGATTGGGGGCCTCCTATTTGGTTATGACACAGGTAAGATGAGGTCTATGCTAGTGGATAAATGATTTTTAGTCATTCTTTTTGAATATGTTGGTTTAATTTGTAACCCTTGTTGGAGTACAGGAGTGATTTCTGGTGCCTTACTCTATATACGAGACGATTTCAAACAAGTTGACAGGAACACATTCTTACAGGTAATTAGATAATTCTCCATTGCCTTATTTCACGTTTATGAAAGAGTATAAGGCTGAAAGAAAACAGTCTTCATCAAATGGCTGGTTTCCTCACTGATTCAATGTTTTATAATGTGTTGATTTGCAGGAAATCATAGTGAGTATGGCTGTATTAGGTGCTATTTTTGGTGCTGCAATTGGAGGATGGATTAATGACAGGTTCGGCAGGAAAAAATCAATTTTGCTTGCTGATGGGCTCTTTGCTGTGGGTGCCGTTGTTATGGCATTAGCTTATGATCCATGGATGATTATTCTTGGAAGGCTTTTTGTTGGTTTAGGAGTCGGGATGGCTTCAATGACATCACCTCTTTATATTTCAGAAGCTTCCCCTGCTCGAATTCGAGGTGCACTTGTTAGCACAAATGGTTTGCTAATTACAGGAGGGCAGTTTCTGTCTTACCTTATCAATCTGGCCTTCACTAAGGTAAGTTTATCCTTTCTTATCACTTTCAGTACATTGGAAAGTTTGATTGAACACTCCATGCAGTCTCTCCAACAGAAAAGGAAAATCTTCAGAATTAATACTCAATTCATCCTAAAATTGTGTTTCAGACTAGATGGACATGGCGTTGGATGCTTGGAATTGCAGCTGTCCCAGCGTTAGTTCAATTAATCTTGATGATATCACTTCCTGAGTCTCCTAGATGGCTTTACCGACAGGTTAAAACCTTGTCCTAATTGATCCAATCTTGAAGTTTTGTTGAAGTAAATGTTGCTAAATTTCTATTATTTTTCAGAACAAGGTAGAAGAGGCCAGGTCCATTCTAGGGAAAATATTTCCTGCTAATGAAGTTGATGATGAGATGAATGCCTTGAAACTCTCTCTTGAAGCAGAAAAAGCTGATGAGCATGCTATTGGGGACAGTCTAACACAAAAGGTGAAGGGTGCTTTGAGCAATGTTGTAGTTCGAAGGGGACTCTATGCTGGTATAACCGTTCAGATGGCTCAGCAGTTCTCAGGCATCAATACTGTTATGTATTACAGCCCAACAATAGTTCAATTTGCTGGATTTGCTTCAAACAAGACAGCAATGGCGCTTTCTCTGATCACTTCTGGTCTTAATGCCTTTGGCTCAATCGTCAGTATGACTTTTGTTGATAGATATGGCAGGAGGAGACTGATGCTTATTTCTATGGCTGGTATCATCCTTTGCCTTGTGACATTATCAATTATGTTCCTTGAAGCTGCCAGTCATGCTCCTGAAATCAACCAGTTCGACACCGACTTTCCTACAAATGCTACATGTCCTAGTTTTTTGTCATTACCTAAACCCTTATCTTGGAACTGCATGTCTTGCTTGAAAGCTGGTTGTGGCTTCTGCTCTAATAGGGCAAATGAGGCAAGTAAATTTACCTTTTTTAGTCATTGATGGATCTAAACTATAACATGTAACAGCCACCAAGCAATCCATGAGTTGAATTTTGGTTAAATTAGTATTAGGAGGCCCCTTTCATAACTGCATAAATTTAGTCTGATTGATTTATTCTTCTCTATGTGCAGTACTCTCCTGGAACATGCCTGGCATTCACCACAGATCTAAGGGATTCATGCCGTGGACAAAATCGTACTTGGTTCAGGGATGGTTGCCCTAGCAAATTTGGATTTCTGGCTGTGGTTTTCCTAGGATTATACATCCTTTCCTACTCACCTGGAATGGGAACTGTCCCATGGATTGTGAACTCTGAGATATACCCACTGAGATACAGAGGCATTGGTGGAGGGCTGGCTGCTGTCTCTAACTGGATCTCCAATTTTGTCGTTAGTGTTACATTTTTAAGCCTGACAAAAGCTCTTGGTTCCTCTGGCACCTTCTTCCTGTTTGCTGGGTTTTGTACCATTGGATTCATTTTCATCTATCTCCTTGTACCTGAAACCAAAGGGCTGCAAATTGAGGAGGTTGAGCAGATGTTGGAGACCGGTTACAAGCCAAGATTATTGAGGGGCGAGTCAAAGGGTGAATCCCAGTCTGCCTTAGCTCATGTAGCTGCAAATTAACTGATCAATAATGATCTTAGATTTTGTTATTGTACTTAGCTCAAATTAGGCACATTCTGCAAATTTCTCTTCATTATAACATCAAAATTGGGTTTTAGTTCTAAATTCCAACAGGCTAGAAGCAAGAGTTTAGATAAATTATCTTCTGTTTTACAATATAATCTTGTTGAAAGAATACAGGAATAAAGAAAAGAAAAGAAAAAGTGGAAAGGGGAACGAATAGATTCGCTTGAAATCCAATGAAACAAGCAAAAAGAAATGCCAAGGGATGCAGGAGAAGCAAGTGAAAAAGAGACCACTAAGCAATCATAAGCATATAAAATTCATTAATGGTTTGGTCTTTTGGACAAAAGCAACCATTACTGGTGTATTTTGTAGGCGGTCAGGCATCAAATCCAATTTAATATGATCAATTTAGAATCATAAAAAGGTTGAGTAATACAGTGGAGGAGGATATAGTCATACAGCAGTAGTGCAAAAACCGATCCTCTGTTTAATCCTACCATCCAAGAAGATTGGGGAGGAGAAAGAGGAAGAGATATATCAGGAAGACAACCCAAGTCCCCAAGTCTAGAGTTATACTTGTGCAAATAAGAGAAATCAGAGTTACAAGTGAGTCTAAAGAACAGTACATGCAAAAGACATCATGCTTCCACTAATCCAAATCAAGAGTCTTCAATCAGATCCAAAACCTGTAATACCCCTTGATACCAGTGATGGTACAACTAAGCACGCATAAACAATCCTAGAACACAAGTTACAACTTACAACAAACAGAAACAAAGAATGGAAAAGTATTCTCATATCGGATACCAGCAGCACTCTGTATATAGATTCAGTACAGGAAAAGCCACGGTGAATTAAGATGATATAACAGGTTCACCTCTAAAACACAGTCCATTTAGTGTATGATTACTGGCAGCCTTGTCTACAAGATTCTGAACTTTCACAAGAAGCATTTCTTCATATTACTGAATTTTTTCTGTTTTTGGCTCTTCTCATGTAGCGTACATTTCTTGAATTTCAGAGAAGATGCGAGTCTAAGCAATAGATCTTGCATTTCAAAGAATCTAAACCACATGTCTTTAATCCAAGCAACAAAATTGCTGATAGTGGCATTAAGGGTTATATGTCTTAAAATGGTTTTCATACATCAGAATTTAGAATGTGTTACAGTAAAAACTTGGCTACATTGCATTACAGATACATACAACAATGCACAACAACAAAAAACAAAGTTTGTCACATAACTACGTAAGGTAACAACAACAACAACAACACAAAATTCACATCATAACCTTATAAGCTACATCTGCTAATCCTCATCCCATTGATTCTCCTTCTCTACAATCACATTGACCTTCTCATACCTGAAATCTTCAGGACTGGCATGACACTCAACCCGGAATGCCGTGTGCCTGGTAACCAAAATTGCCCACATAAACAGCATCACAAACGCAAACAAGGCTCCACATACTGTAGCAAAGATTAACCCAGAGAAAATTGTAAAAGCACAAAACTTCCTTCTTTCTGCTCTAAATTTCTGACTACCCTTATCGACATAACCTTGTGGATCCGCAGGCAACGAATGCATCCAACTAGAAGCATCCCTTACCTTAAATCTCCATGAATAAACATTGCTACTACTCTGTGAAGATTCCTCATTGGTTGTAGATATTATACCAACAAAAACATCCTTATTACCCCACATTTCCAACAAATCAACATGGTATGCTAGAATTGGATTGAAAGGCCTTTTGTCATCCAATTTACTCAATCTAACCTCTAAAAATTCGGAGTTTGAATCATAATCAACCCAAGATTTCAATACTTCCCCATTGTTCAACACCAAATTCAGAGATGACAAATTGCTAACTTTAACGGATTCATGACTCCTAACATCGATTACTACATGATTTGCATTAAAGTCACCAACTTTATCATCTTTCTTTGTATCAAATTCAATACCCAGAAACATATTTTCACCAAAAAGACCAAAAGACCCTTGAGCCTGAAACCTTGTCTGAAAACCATTTGGAATAAGAACAAAAGCTAAACCATCACCATTACCAGGAGAGATAGAAAAGGAAAACTCAGTTGAAAACGACAAGGGTTTACCCACATTCCTCTCCTCCACGAATTTGAAGGGCTTATCCAGCAATAAAAGTCCAGAACTCGGCGCGTGAGAGCGTGTGAGCAGCACATGGGAGCCTCCATCTTCAACCCTGGCATCACCAAAGAGGGAAATGTGGGGACCAAAGCTGGGGTTGTTATCAAGGGCTTGATGGGCAAAAGGGGAAATGGGTTTTGATGTAAGGAATAGAAAGATGAAGATTTGGAGCTTAAAAGAGAAAGTGTAGCTGTGAATGGAAAATGTTGCCATTGTTTTTTATTTTCTTTGGTTTTTGCAGGTTTTTACTGGTTTTTGGGAAGGATTGGTGCGAGGGTGAGTTATCAGGGGCTCCAAATCAAAAGGGTTTCAAGGCTTTGGCAGTTTGCAAAGGTTCCATTCTTGGGTTATGGATGAAGTGTTTTTGATTTGTTTATCCAAATAATATTAATGAGGGTATAAAAGTTCCATTGATGGCATAAAATTATATTTTCTTTTACCAAAAAAATGTTATGGTTTAACTTTGTTTGACTGAATTTTTCTTATTTGGTATTTGTGTTTTAAAATATGCTTGCAAAAGAAGTAACAATTGGATTGGTTCATAAAAACTTGGAAGATGATCAAAGAATAAATGGCAAAATTTTCGATTGCAAAAGTCTAAAATTTTATTTAAATCATGCATTTCCTATTTCATTTTTCATAGGATTAGATGTTAAGATTGGTGGGTTGCTGTTTTAGATTGCAAGACTACTTGGTAGAAATGAAAATGTTGAACTGAAATCTTAACAACCGTTAGTAAAAAAAATTCAGAAAAAAAAAAAAAAACCATTTGACTTGCCATTTTTAAGTGGGGTTGAAATATCTCAGACCATCAAAGAAAGAACCAAAGATGTGCAGACTCAGCTTCCTTGGACTGATTCTCTTCCACTCTGGCAATGATAGCCCATAGCAAACTGTAGTTTCTGGCCATTTTAGAATACTGCTATTTCATCAGTGTCTTTTTCAAAAAACTTGACCTAACAGTCTGAATCCTGATACTAAAAGGCTATATATGAACACTTTTTTGTTAGAATTGTAAATGCCAACCTTATGTTTTAATTGTGTCCTGCAGCTGCCATGCCAGCTACAAACACTCCAAAGAACATTACTGAAAGGGTGTTTCAGATTTCAGAGAACTCTCTTGAAAATTACTGTAGGATAAAAAAAAAAAAGAAGAAGTAACCCAAAAGGGTCAAGCTGATTTTTTCTGTCAAATTAAGTTTCTTATATAATCTATTTTTTCTTTTTTTTTTCCCAACATTTTCCATTTTTGGTTCAACGGACAGAATCCAAGGGAGCTGAGCAAAGTTAATTGAGCCTTGGACTTGTAGGCTGTAGCTTATCACCACTTGGCAAATAAGACCCATGGTTATTAATTATTGAAGTTTTTAATTATTGAAGTTTGTGAAACTGATATGTCTTCAATAATTTAAGTTTGTGAAAGCTGATATATCCAAACTATTCCTTGGATTGACTAGTTAAGAGGACTGTAGTGGGGAAGACATAGGTGCTGTTAGACAAATAGGATGATCCCTTTTCTGCATTTCATTGATTAAGAAAGTTCATTGGAGAGAAGAGAAAGCATACTCAATGGAAGGCAACTGAGTTGTTGCAAACTTGCAATTGCACAATAAAAAAAAAAAAAGAGAGAGAGAAATCTGCTTGAAAATGACTTTGCAAATCCTTTCAAAAGCACCATTGGATAAACCATTTGTATGGAAGTGCTTAATTTAGCAGGCACACCTACCATATAGCCATGGGCATTGCCAGTTTGCCAATATTGTCATGTGGTGGGAACATATGCTTGCCTGGTTGACAAAGATCTTTTCATAATTGTAATTACAGACAGAACACATGTTTTTCAACAAACCTTGTGGACCTATTAGTTACATCCTTGTTCAAATCCTACCCAACACTCCATAAAATCTGAAAATTTTGATCCAAGAACGGGAGAGAAAGATCATAACTTCAAGCTCTCATTCTCCTGACAACTATATATATGAAGATATGGTAACAGAAAACTTTTCTTATAATTAACTACACGTGTGAAGATTGTCGAAAATAAAATATGTATATTCTGATCAATGTTAGTTTTTTTTTCTTTTCTGCTACCAATAATTCTGTATAAGATGGAATAAAAGGTGGATTGGAATACATAACATGTATGGAAGAAAACTAGTTTCTGTCTTGTATCATATAAAAGCTCCCTCTCATTATTGAGGTAGCTAGGCAGTCAATTTTTAATTTTCTTTCATTGATTGTTCTGCTGGCTGGGTCATAAGAATTTTGTATCCGTCTCCATGCTTGAATTTTTGTCTTCTCAGTCTTTTTGAACTTAAAGGGAATACTAACCCCATTTCCAGGTGCTGAGCCACCATGTTCCCTCTTGTCTGAATATGTATGTTTTTCTTGACAGACATTTTAGTAAAAGCCTACCAAATATTGGGGATTAGATAAAGAAGTCATAAATTTCCTAAAAATCAAAGGCTTCCTAACCTAAATGAGGTACGGTAAGGGGTACTCCAATGCCTAATCCCCTCACCAACCAACTCAAGTATGCACTCTCTCGTATCGACTTGTTTATTTAAGATTTTACTCTTGAAGTACTCTCCATAAAGATCGAACTCTGATTGAAAAAGAAAGAATGTTCCTCTCTTTACCAACTTGGCTAACCTATGTGGACATTTATGGTTCAAGTATGAAGAATTATTATACATAAAACTTGGGGTTCTATTGCTTGTAAATTAAAAGACAAAAAAAAAAAAAAGGGAATCATTTGTGATCTAAATCTTATAGACACAATGATGCAAGGTGGGGGATTTTTCAACTCAGACCAAAGACTTGGCTCCTAGAGAAATTATCCTTGTGCTTGATGAAAGGAGTATGAGGTTGCAAAGTAAGTCAAATACAACATAATGGTGCAGAGGACTCTTTGCAGCTTGTGTTCCATTCAACTTAGGAAATAAATGGAGAGGCCATGGAATTTTATTTCCTTTGATGATTTCATACCAACAAGGATTGCAACTACCACGTAATTGGAGGATCATATTCTTCCCCAACATCTATGGTGGCCCATCCATTTTGTAAGTTGAATTTGGATTTGCCACTCTGCTTCAACAGATTATTTTCATTTGAGTTGAAATGGGTGTTATCAAATAAGTTCTACAGGCTGTTGATACAATTATTAGTGTCATTATTTGAAGGAATCTGCAAATTTCTCATGTGGCTTTCAGTGTCTAAAAATGAATGGGACTCGTATGATTAATTGAATTTGAATTTCTACCTTAATAAAGCTTTGAACCCAAACCAATTAATTCATAGCCATTAGTATAAATTTATAGTATTATCATATATATATATATTTTGAGTTTCACATGATATAATACAATTATTAGTCCAAATGACTCATAAAAGTTAATCCGGATAAAATTCTGAATACACCAAGCCCATGCGAGGAGTGCATCCTTAAAATTTTCAAAACTGTTTGATGAGAGATTAACCTCGGACAAAATCTGAGGATTTTTTTTACTATATTATAAAATAAATAGTTCAAATGAAGAGTCACTTTGTTCTTTTTCTTTTACTGGCTGGCTAATTGAACTTTTTTATATAACCAAATAAAGTTTTTCTTTTTTCCAAGCTAATCAGAGTCTATTACATAATTGGTGCTAAGTTAGGATTTTATGTCAATGGTCCCCTATCATTTGAATCAAAAAAGAAAGAAAGAGAGAAATTATAATGGTTGCATTAAAAACAATGATACAAGGTTAACAACTTTTTCCAACATGAATGAGTACATATCCCAATGAAGTCAAATTAACAACGCTTCATTCAATTCATGACCACATGATGAAAATGTGTTTCACAAAGTAGATAATTAAAGGGGGTATAAGAAGAAATTTTGGGTAATTGGTATAAGTTTGAAAATGGAGGGAAGTCAAGGTGTTGGGGTCCCCAGGCAAGGGGCATCCAATCTTTCACCTGTGACTTGGAAAAAGATGATATCCATGGTTTTCCTTTGGCAGTTTATGTGTCCTTCATAAAGCTTGTGTAGTCCAAGGAGGAGACATTTGAACTACATATTTCTCATTCAAAGGACAGTTTGTACACTCTATTGTCCAAATAAATTCTTCCCCTCTGATGCCAGGGACCCCATATTTTGCTTGCCATTTTCAATTTCATTTCATTTCATTTCAGTAACAAATTCAACTTTTTTTTTTCGTTTATACTGAAGAAAATGATCATTTTGACCTACCCATGTTCTTCACGAACAAATCTCCTCTGAACGTTTTTCAAAGATTTATATAAGGAAATTTCTGAAATCTATATTCTTCTTGTAAATTGGAATATTGAAGAACTTTTAAATTTTTATTTTCATGACATTAATCTATGTATATGGTAAAAACAAAAACAAAAGAAACTTTTAACTATTTCGTGATTCTTTTGAATGTAATATATGTTTATCTAATCACTGCAAGCAAATTAACTTGATTAGTGCATGTCCCATTTACTCCAAAAGTTTTACAATTTTATTTTCGAAAGCTGTCTCGCAAAAATGGATTCAAGTGTGGTACATATATCATAGCAAATTTACACAAATTATTTATCGGAGAAATTAAAATGTTACCCTCAACAACGTGAAAAAATAAAAGCATAGTCGGAAGTTTCCAAGCAATGTGTGATCATCAGGCACGCACTCAAATGCACATTTGATGAGACAATATTTCTCATAAAATGTGTGAAACAATACATTTGTCTCTCTGAACTTACAAAGAAAGTGGAGTTATATTCATTCTCAAACAGTTAAAAGCATAGAAAATTAATAGTATTATTATTATTATTATATTCTGAAAGATCTGAGTACAAGTGAGTTGAACAGAAATGATGCATTGAACCAGAAAAAAAAAGTACTACTGGTTTAGTAAATTATAGTAAAGATCATAGCAAAGAGTTTCAAGGCAATATTCTCTTGAAGCCTGTCTGGTATTTAGGTCAGGTCTGATTATTTTCAAGTTAATAGCTTACACCTAGTGATCAATGAAATTGAAATGTCTCAAACATGTATGGTAAAATCCCCATTTTCAAGGGTCAATGTCTGTTGCTTTCTTCTTCAAGGAGGAGAGGTGTTTTTTCTTCACTTTGAGGAAAATGATCCCTTCATTCATCAAAGGATGTTAATAATGCAAATATACAATGCTTCGAGCAATTGTACAAAAGGGTAGTTATTAGTATAT